AGCAGGTTCTGACAGGTTCTGGAGAACCAGTAGTGGAACATTTGAGTAGTTCAGAGAACTGGTAGCAGAAATTTTGAGTAGTGCGGAGAACCAGCAAATGCCACCTCTGGCTGGCCCCAGAGTGGGGTAGGAATGGGAATTTTGCAGTATCCATCCCCTGCCACGCCCACCAAGCCACACCACTCCCACCAAGCCACGCCCACAGAACCGGTAGTAAAAAAAATGAATTTCACCACTGATTAAAAGTTGCAACGGCTCTGAAAAAAAAATGACAATCGTTTCTCAGACTTACAACCACTGCAGCATCCCCATGCTCACAGGATCAGAATTCAGACGCTCGGCAACTGATTCATATTTATGATCATTGCAGTGTCCCAGGCTCTTGGGGTCCCCTTTTGCGACCTTCTGACAAGCAGAGTCAACGGGGAAGACAGATTCGTTTTAACGACCGTGCTACTAACCCCACAACTGCAGCGATTCACTGAACAACTGTGGCAAGAAAGGTCATAAAATGGGGCAAAACCCACTTAACAACTGTCTCATTAGTAACTTTGAGCTCAGTTGTGGTTGTAAGTCCGAGGACTGCCTGTACATGAGAAGACAGCTCCTGGGGAGGGGAGCATGTTCTCCTATCAGTTTGTCTTCTTTCTCTCCCTTCAGACTCCGGAACCCATCCCGCTGGAGACCTTCAAGAAGGTGGCCTTTGAGTTTGAAATCCCCGTCTGCAAAGGTGTCCTTGATTACGCAGCCTCCGACCTGGCCCAGTTCAAGCAGTACTGCTGCCTCCTCTGGGGAAACGTCTTCACCTTCCTGCAGCAAGTGGAGGCGCTGATGAAGGACTACGCCGTCCCTCTGGCCATCGTCCTGGGGAAGAAAGTGATGGACCTCGTGCCGGATTTTGAGCTGAGCCAGAGAGCAACCCGGGAGGAAATCCTCTCGGTCTTAAAGAATGTCTCCACCGTTCAGAGGTTTCTAAAGCAGCCTGGCCGGAGATACAAAGCTCAAAATGGGAGGGAAAAAGCAGCCATCAAGATCCAGGCGACCTGGAAGTGCTACAAGTTGAGAAAATCCTACATTGGATTCAGGCACCGGCAGTGGGCCTCGGGCATCATTGCCATCTCTTGGCTGATCCACGTTCACCTGCAGCGTGTCCGAAAGACCCTGAAGGATTCCCGGCAGAAACACCTGGAGAACTTCCACCTCAGGACCAAGGTAGCTGCTAGGGGCCTTTGTCTCAGCATCCGTGCCCAACCGTTGCCATCAAACTTCCCCCCACCCCTATTTAACTCTACCCTTGTCCAAGCATATTTTATGCATCATTAAATGTACAGCCTTTGGTGGCTACAGTCTGCCTCCATTCCCCCCCCCCCCCTTTGAACAACTGCTGCTTTCCCTTTGCGGTGTGAAATGGGGAAAACAAAAATCCCTCTGATTTGACCTGGGTCCTTCTTGTCAAAAAAAAAAATATTTGGTAGGTTTGGAATAGATCGTATTTAGCACTGCGCTTCTCAAAGAATTGTTTTTAGGAATCGCTTCAGTTCTGCTCTCTTTTTAGTTTTTCTGACTTCAAGTTTAGAAGGCAGAACCCAGAAAGAGGGGAGGGGGGTGAGATGGGGGAGGGACACAGTAATAGCCAGGCTGTTGCTTCTGGAAAGAGTAACGGTCAGGGGTACCTGTCAACTGTCCAGCTTCTGCCAATGCCAAGTCCTGGGCATCATTATGTCATCTCCTTCCCTGCCTCTGTCCTCGCCTTCAAATTTTATTAGATGCCTGTATACGGTGCTGCCATGCTTTCAGTTTTATCCACAGATTATTTTTACTTTTTTATGCCATTTATAGCCTGCCTTTCCCAGTCAGGTAAACTAGACAAAGGCTCTTGCACAGGGTTTCTCAACCTTGACGACTTTAAGTCCGGTCGACTTCAACTCCCAGAATCTGGGAGAAACTCTGCATCTAGCAGAAGTTTTAAAAAGAAACTCCCAGGATGCAGTAAGTTGAGGTTTACACATCTTCAAAACGGCTGAGATTGAGAAACTGCCTGAGGGCTTTAAAGGAGCCAGGGCAGCGGCTGAATTTTGCATCGGTGGAAATTTCAGGGGTCAAGGGCAGCTCCGCATAGAGCTCACTGCGGTAGTCAAGATGGTGCAGTCGGGGCATGGATTCCGTGTTCCCAAGAGACAGTTTGGTGTTTGGCCCTGCCTCCTCCAGCAGCCAATGCAGTGCCCTCTTCCCACCTCCTCTCCTCCGCGGTCCCTCTCCCCTACTCTTCCTTTACAACACAATACCGTGCACTTGATTTGTGGCCCACAAAAACAATCTCCCTCGCCTCTGTGGCAGTCACTACTTTGTCAGAAAGTACTTAAGTTTGCAGACAAGCTTTTAATTAGTGCTCACCATTTCATTTATGTTTGCTTTCTCTCTCTCTCTCTCTTTTTTTTTTCATTCATATTCTGTTAATTAAGTGATCAGCCTCTAATCTTCCCCTGCCAGTAGCTTCATGTAGCCATCTAATTAAATTAATTGGGGAAGATGTTTTAAGTATGTGATTAAATCAATTAATATAATTTATGCCTGGCTTAACTGTACAGTGGGAAAAAAGGAGGAGGAGGGGGAACAGCTGAAGTTCGGCTGGGTTGCATCCGCGGCAGGTCCCTCCTGTCACTGATCAATGCCTTTTCTTGATTTTTAGCATCTGGCCGCCAACTGGAATCGCATCAGGAGCTCTAGGAGGACGATTATCCATATCCCATCGTTAGGTAGAACGCTTTTGTCTCTGGGTCTATCAGCAACCCCTATTACACACCGCATTATGACTCCTTGATTGAGTTCAAGGAAGGCCTTGTTTTATTCAAATTGGTCTCGGCAGGAAAATGTTGTCGACATGATGAGAGTAATAACGCAGGGCCTTCACTTGAAACGGCGGCGTTTAATTTGGGGATTAAGCAAATAAAGTCATTATGTAGAGGCCGCTATTCAGCGGAGAGGTGATTTGCGGTAATTCGCTTCCCTCTGTATGAAATGAACTAAAAAGTTGTATTCTCTCCCCCCTCCCACCCCCCTTTTTCTTCCCTCGCTGCCCTCCCCTTAGAAACCCCCACAGACAGGGTTCCTGCCTGCCTTCTGCAAGGAGGGGATGTGGGTTTGCTGGCTTGGGTGCTATTGCATCAATAAGCCAGGATGCTGCCTGCACCCTGCTTTTAATCAAATGTGCAGTCAAAATGATAAGCCACATTCTCTGAAATTATTTAGTTCTAATTACGAGCAGATGGGAGGGTTTATTTGCACCTTGGGCGCCTCAGCAAAAGGAAATGCTGTGGTGAACAAGAATAATTAAGAAGTTGAATAGTGGGGTGGTTTGTGTGTGTGTGTTGGTGTGTGCTTAAATAATCTGCAGCTCCATGTTAATTAGCACTCGGGTAATTATTTAATTACATTTATGAATTGGGGGGCTTAAGAGCCGTTTCTCTCTGCAGCAATGGGGGTTTCTCAATCCAAAAGGATCTTTCTAGGAAATGGCTGAAAATGGGAACAGCGGCCCATGTTTTAAAATAAACCAGCTAGTTTTCTTTTAATTGGGGGCCTACGGAAAACGTCTGCAGAGAAGATATCCGAGCGGCCTTCCTTTTGATTGCAGCCCTCTGTGGCCGTTGCTGCTGCAGCTGTAGCGTTTCCAGAGAGCAGTTTGCTGAACGGTTGATGGAAGGGCCGGCTCTGGGCATCTTTGGCCATCACTGCCTTAGCCCCGCTCTCCTCCAGACCCCCTTTAAAGTCTCAAGGGAAGCTTCCAGTTTGTTTAGTCAATGTTTATTACAGTCCAACACCAGAGCAAGTTAAAAACGCTCAAGCAATATCCAGTTAAAAATTCTAGAATTAAATAAAAAATAACAAAATCTAGATCAAAATCACAATTTGGCATCCCATCTGTCAGTTGCACACCAGCATGGCCTAACTATAATATCAGTCCTTAAACTGTGAGGCCGGCAGTCATTAAATACTAAAATGCAAGAGAGTGATCACGCAAAAGGAGTTGCTGCATTAATTGTGTAAAATAGCTGTGATGGATTAATCACCTGTTTCCGATGAATCCCCACTGCTGCTGCCCGGAATCTAGCCACCTGCGCTGAAGCTTGCAGTCTGCACATCACAAAATTTCCCTTTCCTTTCTTTTTTTTAAAAACAAACAAACTTTCTACTGCTTTTGATTGACATGCAAGCAGCATTTTAGAAAATCCTTAGTTTCTTAAAAACAGATGTAGGCAACATCTCATCTGTCCTTCCGGAAATCCTGTCTTGGATACCGTAAAAAGGCAGGGAGGTTTTTCAGGTCTTGATATCACTTTTTCCCCATCTTTATTACAAATGCAAAATATGCAAAAATATTAATCTCTTTTAAATAAATTATTGCTCTTTTACTGAAGACATTTTATACAGAAAATAAGATGACAAAATACAACTAGAAAACCAGAATCTTTGGCATACTTGCAGTTTTAATAAATGTTAGATTTAATAGATTTCAAAATATATGTCTTTGCCCAATCTGGGAAGGACAGTTTTTTAATTCCAAGGAATAAAACAGCCGCAATACAGCTGAGTTCAAAGGGTCCTGAGTCCCAGTTCCTGGAAGTTCCTATAGCTGGAATTTGTGGCTTTCTGCTGCTCCTGTCACCACGTTTGAGAGACCTTGATTGATGTCACTCATAATAAATAAAATCACTTTTTAAAAAACCAAACCTGCAATGATCATACCACACATGCTTATTCTGAAGTAACATTTGTTGAACCCAAATTGTTAATAATTCCCCCCACACACACTTTTAGTCAAGGTTGGTCCTTTTTTAATCTCCCAAAAGGGCACTTAAACATGTTTACAGAATGTTTTTCTAATTGTCCTCTTAGGCAAACAGCTTCAACTTCAGGCTGAAGTTATACGTGGTATGGACACGCTTAGACAACTCGCTAACTAACTAACCAACTAGCTAACTAGCTTTCTCTTACAAGTGTGTGCATGCCTGTTGGCCCAATACAAACTTTTTATATTCAAAAAATAAAGTTACCCTTGAATACATTTAGTGATTAATTATTCTTCAGTTGTGCTATATTAACCAATAATAATGCTGCAATATTTCATGAGCCTGTATAAAAAGTTCTTGAAAATGAAAACTTTGAAAGTCATTTCATGTGCATTGATATTGAAGAGCCAGCGCTAGGTTGAATTTATGGCAGAATAATATTTTGTTGTTTGAAATAATTCTTTTACTGAGTTGTTGCTTTTGGTTTAAATTTCCCTCACATTAGAAATGTTCTTAAATTGAAAGTTGGGGATATTGTTAATCTATGGGAATCTTCTCAGTTTTTTCTGATTATTCAGGACCTCAAACAAATTATACAGTTTAATAATAGACACCAATAAGTTTGTGTCCTACCATTTCTCAAATAAATATGTGTTTTTAAAACAAATGTGAACATTCCTTTCCATTATTTTTGAATTGTATGAAAGAGCTTTCATCAAATTAAAATGTGGCCTTCAAGGGGTGTTACTTTCTAATGATATGAACAGCTCTGCCCCATAGCAGTTTGTGGGGCTCGATCTAATGGATAATTTTGCAAGCTTTTTCTTCTGCCATATAATCCACTAACGTCCTATTTTAATGCTACTTTAACTGCTGAATAAGAGGTCTAGTTATCAATATTACAAACCTGAGAGAAGATGAAAAAGAACCTCCTGATCAGGAGTCCCATCCAACTCTAGCTCAGTGTTGCTCAACTTCAACAACTAGGTGGACTTCAACTTCCAGAATTCCTCAGATATACAGGCTGGGGAAATCTGGGAGTTGAAATCCACCGACCTTAAAGTAGCAGAGGCTGAGAGGCTGAGATTGAGAGACTCTGATCTTGCCCTTCTATAAAGCTATATAATCTATACGTCTCCCGTGATAGAAGTGAGAACTTCGTGAATTTTGAGTTAAATCCCCATCAATGAAACCTAACTTTAGTCTGCCACCATTTCATTTGTTGCGGGAGTCTTTGAGACCCAAATGCTTTAGCATCTTGGAATATCCCAACCATTTGAACCAGATGATTCAAAGATCCCCTTCCAGAGGGTAGAAGACTTCTGCATTAGAAGACCTCTAAGGTCCCTTCCAGCCCTATCATTCTATTTTCTGTGCCTGTTTCCTGTCTTCATACTCCAGGCTTAGGCTTTTGACTTGAGGTTGGTCCTTGATCCCCATTAAGCCCTAGACAGAATCAGGTAGATCTATAGTATGAGAAGGTCCACCCCAGTGAAGGATCTCCTGCTGTGATAGCATCCCAGGGCCAGGAATTAGATTCCTTGCAAAGCTGTCAAGAATTTTTATCCAGGTTTGCTTTTCGAAGTAGTTATACAGGTGAAGCTCAAAATAGATTTACATACCCATGTAATATGGCTGTATTACTATTCGCCTTCTTATCTTTTCTACTATCTCCTATTGGTATCTGATGGTTATAATATTTTGTTGTTGTTTGTAAACTGAGACTTTATGCACAACTTCCCTGTATGTCCAATCACACTTGGCCAATAAAGAATATTCTATTCTATTTTATTCTATTCTAATTTTGTTCTGTTCTGTTCTATTCTATTCCTTTGTAATTTTGTTCTATTTCTATTGTAATTTCATTCTATTCTATTCCTATTCTTATTCCCATTCCATTCCATCGCCTATTCTACTCTACTCTACTCTACTCTACTCTACTCTACTCTACTCTACTCTACTCTACTCTACTCCATTTCCATTCCATCTCCTATTCTATTCCATTCCATTCCTATTTTCTTTTCTGTTCTATTCTATTCTATTCACACAGAGACATGCTGCGGGGAGGGAGGGAGATTGTCGTAGATTTTACTTTTCATTCTGGATCAAAAAAGCAACATTCATGCTAGGGGAATGGAGGGACTTTTCTCTTGGAGAAAATATTCAGGTTTTTCCCCGTTGTGCCAGTTCGGATCCTTTCGGCTTCTACCCATCTCTGGAAGTGCCGTTTATACTTTCTCTTTGCCTTGTTCTGTGGGCGAGTTGTCTTTTGCACCTTTCTGTCCCAATAATCCGTGCAAGACCATTTATGACGACTTAAAAGCATTTACGCGAATAAATTCTATTACCAGATGGGAAATCCCCCCCCCCTTCAATGAAATGTTTAGTAGCTGAGTATCAAGAAACTGGGATCTTAATCGTTACATATTCTAAGGCATCCCAGTCTGCTGAAATGGATTGAATTTAGATGGCTTTTTGATACCATTGTCTCTGAGGGCTAAATGGAACTTCAGTCTCCGGAAGCACATATATCCAATGATAAAAACAGATGTAGCTCATGGCAGTTGCCTTCAAAATCTTCCAGTAAGCCTTTTGAAGCATTTGTTTGGCAACTGCTGAAAACAAGCTGTTGTGCTAGCTAGAAAGGTAATTTGTTTTCATATAATTAATTTTCAGTTGTCAGATTTCATTCTGTGATCTTCCTCCAATGCCAGAAATTGAATGACACGTCTAAAATGCCTCCTATCATGTTTGCCCAAAAGGTGTACACGGGATACAACTTTTCCAGGTTTCTAGAGGAATTTGAGACGCATTTGCAAGATTCCAGAGGCCTTAATATACAATTCGAAGGATGAAGCATTATTTTAATCTTGTTAGCAAAGCACGCTATAACAGCAGCCCATCAAACCTGGACTTATTAAGCAGCACTTGGTATTGATTTTCTGACAAACTGTCCTGCCGACAATTGATCTTTTTTCTTTTCTTTTTAATACCAGGATCGTTTCCATGCAATTAGCTTAATTTCAAAATCTTTCTGGATGGGACTATCCAAAAGAGTTAAATAGAAAACATTTTATAGGAATCATGCAATCTGCTTTGAAGTATTTATTTTATATCTTACTCACACATTCCCAGAAAAACAGACTTCAACCATCCAGCCAGCAGCAAAAACCCTCAGCGCATTACATCGGAAAGGGCCCAGCAAAAACCCTGCTTGTATTGTGCAATCCAGATGTCACCATAATTGCAAATTAAAATGCTTTAATGGGAAAGGGAGAGCAAGAGAGAGAATATGTGTGTGAAAATTCAATTAATTTTGTTTTAACGGAAAGTGTTCTAGTTTTAATTATTCTATCAGGAAAAGACAACCCAGGCTTTAAATGGAAATGATTTTAGTATTTGTGATTTTAATTGTCTGGGTTTAGCTTTGGTTTTGTCTTGTATTTGCCATGTTTTTATATCAGCTGTTTTGAGCACCATGTGAATAGAAAGGTGGGAGAGATAATTCAAATAAAAACAAAGACATTTTATTATTATTATTTTAGTTCATTTTTTTAGTAAATATAGATCGGTATGCATCCTGAATTCTGCAGTAAAGTTGCATGTCAATTTATTACAACAATCCCCATTAATAAATACTCCATTTATTTGAGTGTTCTCATTACTATCATTTTAAAATCTAGTTCTATTAATTGCTTTTCATTACAACGTCCCCCAGTTTTCTCCAGAAATAATAGCAAACAAGGTAGTTAAAATTCATTTGAATTTTATTCAAATTGTGCAACCTTACTGCACAATTCAGTATACTGTTGTAAAATTCACTTGAATTTTAATTGCGTTTGAACTTAGGATGCTGTATTTTTCCTCTGTTGTTGTTGTTGTTGTTGTTGTTGTTGTTGTTGTTGTTATTATTATTATTATTATTATTATTATTATTATTATTATTATTATATACAATTCTTGTTCCTAATTATTTAAAAGCCAGATTAGGTTTCTAGTAATATGTTCAAAAAAAATCCCGTACTTTATCAGAAAGTGTGGCTGTGTAGCTTATTCAGAATTAGTCTAGTATATTTCAGTTATTCAGAACGCAGTACATTGCGATGTTTTCTTTCTTTTTTGATAAATGAATTGGTCTTGCACTGGTTGAAAGTTGAGCTCAGATTTCATTTTTCATTTTATTAATTTTTCTGGAAAATTTCTGAAATGTAAGTGGTATGCTGAATTCCCTCTCCCCAGCAAAAAAGAAAAAAGAGCATAGAGCCTTAGACGGGTGTGATGTGTGTTAATCAGTTGGGATGTTTTCTTCCAGGATACAAGCAGTCCCTCCGAGAGGCCGATCCAGATTTCGCTGTTCATCAGGGATCGCAGTTCGGAAGGCTGTGCGAGATCAAAGGTACGAAGGTCCTTTCCAGCAGCTCTGCCTCTATTGTGCTTCCAAAGAAGAGAAGCGCAGTTCAATGGATTCACATTTCTGAGCCAACAGATTGTGTCCATTTTGAAGGCTTACATACTAGCTAAACTGCGACGGAGACGTTGGACTTTCGTTTACCAGGTTGCATGAACCCAGCTTTTTGTATCCTAATCAGCACATCCTATTTTCCCCAAATTATTTTTAAATCAAGAGGCAATGGTGCTTTTTTTGTTTTTTCTTGAAGGCGTTTCCCTTCTCATCCAAGAAGTGTCTTCAGTTCTGACTGAATGGTGGAAGCTTCTTGGATGAGAAGCCAAAAGTCTTCAAACAAAAACAAAGGAAGTCCAGTTGCCTCTTGAAAAAAAAAAAGCACCTTTGGGACAACCATGACCTGAGTGACGGAGAATCTTCATAGACACATCATAATTCAGCAAGCCAGGGCTTTGCATAATGTACAAACCTAGTTAATGACTGTCAACTCCTATGCAAAAATTACTTGCAGTCTGGGGTGCCCAAAAATTCATTAAAGTGCTTTGTCAGCAGTTCGAATCAGTAGCGCTGCGTAACGGAGTGAGCTCCCATTACTTGTCCCAGCTTCTGCCAACCTAGCAGTTCGAAAGCACATAAAAAATGGAAGTAGAAAAATAGGGACCACCTTTGGTGGGACAGCAACAGCATTGCTTGTGCCTTCAGCGTTTAGTCATGCTGGCCATAGGGTTAGACTAGAAGACCTCCATGGTTCCTTCCAGACCTATGGTTCTAGGTTCTATAATTGAAATGCGTTTTGGAAGCTTTAAATTTTAAACTTAGGCTGAAAATTAAGTATAGGTGTCGAAGACATATGAGTGCTATTGTATGTCTTCAGGCTTGTTTATTGCATTATTAAACTTTACTAAATAAATAACTAGTCCATAGGTATGTGCAAATCATGCATAATTTCCCCCTTAGTGGCTCTTGATAAATTAGCTCATATTTGGTCTTTGGTTTTAAAAAGAATTCTGACAAAAAGTGTGTGATCAGATTTCTTAGCAAGTTTTTTTTAGTAAAGTTTTTATTTTTATTTTTTAACTTATTCATTATTACATTGATATTGATTCTCTAATCTTACAATAGTAATAATGAGCATAATATATCTATTCATTTCTCCCTCTTAACATATCTTCTAATAAGAATATAATAATATTAAATATAATAATCTTAATAGCCATATTAGTAAGAATCGTCATATTGTTTACTTCTCTATCTTAATATGTTTTCTATATTTCACTGATCTCCATTTATTGCTAACTTCTATTTTTATATTCCAACCATTCATAAAATAACTCCCATGTCATATAATATTCAGTTTGTTCTTTCTCCTTTATGGCAAGCGTTGAGCTATTCATTTCTGCACATTCTAATATTTTCCTATTCACATTCTTATCAGCAGGGATCTCTCCACTTTTCCAGTTTTGTGCAAATACAATTCTAGCTGCTGTTAATACGTGCATAATTAAATATGCATTCCCTTTGCTATAAGTTTCAGATAAAATCCCCAACAGAAATATTTCTGATTTTAAGACACTGTGCTGCTTTATCATATTTTCCAGCCACATTTGTATTTTTGTCCATTTTTTTTTCCTTCTGCACATGTCCACCACCTACGATAATATGACCAAGTATCTGGTGGCATTTCCAACATTTAGCTGACTTATCTTTAAACATCTTGGCCAACCTCACCAGTGCAAGTTTCACAACTCTGCAGGAGATGGGTGGCTATCGGATGCATTGCATATTGATGTGAGGTTGTATACTTTGGGGGCAGAATAAAGTTTCCATGTGGCGCTGTTGGCCAGTTGACATGGTGCTCAGTACAAACCCTGGTTTATCTTCATGGGCACTTTTCAGAAGGAGACACATGGTTTTCCTCGCAAGAATGATATGGAGGTTTTTATGAATGAGTGCAATGAACGTCCACTTGGAAAAAAGCATGGAAGGAGGTGTGAGATTGTGATTGCAAAGGTGCTACATTGTCAGAATCTGACCTGTGAATCATTACCCAGCAAGCTTCCCGGGAAGGATGCAGGGCACTCAATCTATGTCTCTCTAAAGCAAGGCTGGAGAACTATGCTCTTTTTATGACTTGTGGATTTCAACTCCCAGAATTCCTGAGCCAGCCAGGAATTCTGGGAGTTGAAGTCCACAAGTCATAAAAAAACCCATAGTTCTCCATCTCTGACCTTAAGGGAATCAACGTAAAATATTCCTTTTTTTGTGTGTCCCACCCCCCTTTTACTCCTTTAACAGAAGAGCGAAAAATATTAATTTGTCAGTGGCCAAGATTGCTGGCTACCCACAATGACACACTCTACATGATTCATGTATATTTCAGCATCATTATTATTTCATAAATGCCATTTGCACAAAAATGTATCCTCAAAATTTATGGGAGCCTAAAATAATAACTTAATTGCCTTTATATATTATGAAGGCACTAATGTTGTTTTGTCCTCAGTGCAACTCTTCTATATTCTGGTGTTTATTTAAGGAAAGATTTGTTACTTCTGAAGGAGTTAGAAAGTTATAGGCAGCGTGGAATCACATGTGGCAAGAGACTGAAGAACAGGGTCACACATGAGGTCTCTGGGAAAGTTTTTTTTTTGTTCTCTATATACAAGTATAGATATACATTCACATAATTATTATTCTTTTTTACATTCATCATTCTTATACATTTGTCATTCCATTTACAGGGTTATAACATACCATTTTGTTTACCATCCCTTATCTGTTTTGACATCACCTTCTTTTCCCTTTCTTTTCTCCCTCCCTCACTTCTCTACTTTTTTCCTTCCTCTCTCCTTTCCCTTCCTTCTTCCCTTTCCTCTCCCCTACTCCTCTTTTCCTCTTCCCCTTCCTGCCCTCTCTCTTTCTTTCATTTTCCCTTCCATCTTCCTCTTCTCGCCTCTATCTTCCTTCCCTCCTCTTCCTCTCCTGTCCTCTCCTCATCTCTTCCTTTCTCTTTTCTATTGTTGTAGGTGTCTCTTCCAGCACTTAATTTTTATTTTGTTGGGATGGTATTTCCACAGACCCCAAAATAATTGAATATCATTTCTTATTCCCTTTCCTTCTCAAATCTATCCTGATTTGTGTTTCCCCCCACCCTTTGTATCTTACTTTTCAATATATACTTATATATTATTATTTTCTTCCCTATTTCCTGCCCTCTTCCCACACTTTTCTACTTGATGGCGTATCATCTGGGTTCCATATCTTCCCCTTCCTTTCTTTTCTGTATGTCTTTCTCTAACTATTCATAAAATCTTCCCCATGTCTTGAAGTACACTGATTCCTCTTTATCCTTTATTTTCAAGGTCAATCTGTTCAGCTCTGCACAGTCTAAAAGTCCATAATTCTCGAAGGAGCATCCTAGAAAATATTCCAAAGGTGCTTTTTCAGGAGGCAACTGGACTTTCTTGTTTTTTCTTTTGAAGATGTTTCACTTCTCATTCAAGAGCTCTTCCGCTCTTGACAGGATAGTGGATAATAGAAGCTTCTTGGATGAGAAGCAAAATGTCTTCAAAACAAAAAAAACAAGAAAGTCCAGTTGCCTCCTGAAAAAGCACCTTTGGGACAACCAGGACCTGGGTGACTGAGAATTTCTACAGAATCCCCCAGCTGGGTGGAGAATTCTGGGAGTTGAAGTCCACACATCTTCAAGTTGCCAAGGTTGAGAAACACTGAACGAAGCCAAGCAAAGGATGGAAAAAATCTTTTTAGTGCCCAGAATAATTTGGTACTATCAGCAAACTCCGAATTCTCTCTGGATCATTTGTTCATGGTGATTGGTCAAGTTAAATAGATGGGAGAGAGGAAGGGAGGGATGGATGGAGAGAGGGAAAAGGAGAGGGAGGGAGGGAGAAGGAGAGAGGGAGAGAGAAAGAGAAACAGCACAATATAATATGATTGTTACAATTGCTGAAAAGTCTTTGGTAAACACTGGAGATATGGGTTCATATCACACTTCTGACTCATCCCTTCTTTTAGAAGAGGTCAACAACCTATTCTCCAAAGCACCTGAAGGCAGGAGAAGAAGCAATAGATGGAAACTAGTCAAGGAAGGAACTAACCTAGAACTAAGGAGAAATTTAATGAAAGTGAGAACAATTAACCAGTGGAACAACTTACCTCCAGAAGTTGTGACTGCTTCATCACTGGAGGTTTTTAAGAAGATATTAGACAACCACTTGACTAAAATGGTATAGGGTCTCCTGCTTGAGCAGGGGCCTGGATTAGAAGACCTCCAAGGTCCCTTCCAACTCTGTTATTCTGTTATTAAAAGTCAGTACATAAGAGAGCCCAAAACTTTTTCTGATCTTCTACCTTTCTTTATTCCTTTGATCTTGGATGCTGTGGCATTAATTACCAAAGGGGAAAAAACTTCCTATCCTGATCTTGCAAAATACTTAATCTCGTACAAGTACTTAATTTACCTGCTCACTTATTTTCTTACTATTGTGAAGCTTGGTCTCCAGGGCTGAGATGTTCTGTCAGTGGGTCTCCCCATCTGCTGAAGATCTTGCCAAACTAAGCGGATGCAGGCTGGTTGTGAATCACGAGCACAATGAGGCTAGGAAGAAAGCAAATGCCATTTTAAGCTACATCAACAGAAGTACAATTTCCAAATCATGGGAAGTAATTATTCCATTAGAGCCTGCTTTGATCAAAGCCTACTTTAAATACTCTCTCAAATTCTGATCACCACATTTCAAGAAGGATTCAGAATAAGTGCAGTGAAGAGTAGAAATTAGTGTGAATCCTGTGAAATCCTTGAAAAGAGAGGGAAGGAATCAGAGGTGGGTTCCTACCAGTTCGCACCTATTCGGTAGAACCAGTTCGTCAAATCTACCGAACCGGTTAGAAGAGGTTCCACCAGTGGACCCAAAAAGCAGGCCACACCTACAGAAGAGGTTCCAAAAAAATTTGAAACCCACCACTAGAAGGAATTGAGTATATTGAAGTTTAAGGTGAGAAGGGAAATACTATATATTAAGATGCTTCCGATAAAAATGGAATTGGGGGGCTTTGGGGTTGCTTACCTCTGCAGTGCCGCAAGCACAAAGGAGTACTTGTAAGAAGGTATTCTAACTTCTGTATACCAGGACCTTCTTTGGGAAAAAAAACAGTACAAAGCAAGATTCATTTATTATTTTATGAGATCTGTGCTGACTTCTAAGAGCCGGTAGCTGAGCTTTGTATAGTCCAGTATTTCACAACCTCAGCAACTTTAAGATGGGTGGACTTCAACTCCCAGAATTCCCCATCTAGAGTGCTGGTTGGGGAATTCTGGGAGTTGCCATCCAACCACCTTAAAAGTTGCTGATATTGAGAAACACTGATAGTGTCCGTTGAACTTTGTTTTCCAAACTACACAGCCTTCCCGTTAAGCCACAAAGCCAGTGCTGTTACCTGAGATTGTGTGTTAGTATTTTGCAGACTTCATTCTGAGAGCCAGTTGTTCTACAAGTTGTTTTGCCTTTAGTAAGCAGGATGCAGCTGAGGAGTCAAAGGAACAAAAAGTTAAAATGCCTCCTTTCTCAGGTGATAGGATAATGGAAAACCTCAAGCAATGTTACCTTTTTGCCAACGATTATCAGTGTGTCTTGTTGTTGCTTTTCTCCCGTTAAAGATCCAAATGTGGACGTCATCTATATTTGCCCCTTGGAATTAAGTGAAGAATTGCTGCACTACTACCATAAACTCCTGGGTTTGCAGCCAGCCGTTCGGTCTGGGAACCCCGAGGACGTTGGTGACCTACAGGACAGGTTCAAAATCCTCACCCCTGAAGCCATCAACAGTTTTCCTGTGAGTTTGTCTCTTCTAATTACTATAGCTGGGGGGAATGCCGTAAAATTAAATTGGAAATTTTATAACTTGCAACGCTCTGGTACCCATCAGTGAAATATTATTGCAAGTGTTAAGAGCTGCACAGATTAAGTGACTAGTTAAAAGAGTGTTAGAAATAAAGGCTGAAAGCTGAGCTCAGCTAAGGCCTTCACTGCTGATTTCTGCCCAACGCCTGGCCCCTTTTAAAACGATGAACTTCAGAGGTTGACCACATTATGGAAAGCAAATTGCACAAAATACTGCTCACATATCCCGTGGCTGAAGTGTGCAGATAGTTCCTGTTTTCTATTATATAATTCTTTTATATGCACAGACAATTGTGTGCTTGTGTGTGTATACTGAGTGTGTATATATATATACACACACACTGTATATGTATGCATGTGTGTGTAGATAAAAATATTCTATATTTTCTATTATATATTGCCCTACTCTCAGATACAAATAGTTGCACCTAATAGTATGACAAGACTCAGTGGATGAAAGCTTGTTAAAGAAAGATTCAACCTGGAACTAAATCCAGAAATTTCCTGCATTAATCAGTAGAAAGGCTTGCCTCCAGAAGTTGTGGCTGCTCCCATACTGGAGATTTTCAAAAATAGACTGGAGAAGGACTAGGGTCTCCTGCTTCAGCAGGGTTGGACTAGAAGACCTCCAAATCCCTTCCGGCCGTATGATTCTTTAAGACATTATTTATTTAGCATATGATGAGAACATGCCAGAAGAGAAGTAAATATATATACACAGTCCTCGTAATTATAGGTAAACATTCTATGGGTGTATCGCAGTGGCCTCAAACCTGGATATCCAGTTCAGTTGTCCAGATCAGTGGTCTCCAACCTTGGCAACTTTAAGACCTGTGGACTTCAACTCCCACTGGCTTTAAGACTCCCAAGTCTTAAAAGTTGCCAAGGTTGGAGACCACTGGTCCAGATGACTCCCTGTGCCGTGGCTTCGTGCAGATCTTCTAGGGAACCAGAGGATGCACGTTGTTGTGGCCAGTCTTGCACAATGTGTTTAATATTTTGCACCACCATCTCAGCAAGGGGAGTCTTTCCACCCCCACTGACTCAGGGCAGAGGGAGTTCTTTTAGTGTCGCGCCTGATTCTGTTCAATTTTGTCCAGACGGAGCGAGTCAGGTCAAAACCTGGTACTTTGGCAGAGGGACCACTAATGGTCAGGCCACAAGGAGGCACCTGGACCCTTCCTCTTTCCATGTGTTCTCGGGTTAAACTGGGATTAAGTGAATTAGCTGTTTTCTATCTTGGCCTATGTTCTGAATTGTTCTGTGTTTTATTCTCCTTTAGCCCCTCTCGTTTTTTATTATTGTAGCAAAATCTAATTTATGACTTTCCTTTCCATGCGCTTGAATTACTTTCTGTTTTTAATTGAGGGGTGCAGGATTAGTCGTAGTTTTGAATCCTTGATTCCCCAGCCTGTCAGTCCCCATCTCTCAGCCTAACTTATCACACAGGGTGGTTGTTGTGGGAAAAATAGAAGGAAGGAGTATTAGATACGTTTGCTCCCTTGAGCTACTTATAAAAATAAGGAAGGTGAGATAAAAAAACAAATAAATAATAATAATAATCCCTCTCTAAAGGAAGGGTTCTCTGATCCCCTAGATTTTTTTTGACCCCGCTGCAATGCAATAAATGCGGGTCCTAGGCAAGTTCCATAAACTCTGTTGAAGTTGGTGATCTTGTCTGCATCCCAAGGGTTGCTTATTTATTTCTGTGCATGAAATCTAAATCCTTTTCACTGCAAGAAGATTTCTGGGTCATTATTAGAACTATAAAATTATGATGCCGTTCTCTACGAGAACTCTGTTTGTGTAGTACTATCACAACAGGCATATCTGCCAGCTCTTAAATTTTGTGCTGTTACAAGCTTGTTTGTATAGTTTAGCCGATTCATTGTTTTATGCAGACACTGTTAAATACATGGCTTGCTGCCACCTTCCAGAAGCTGTAATACAAGCCTTTTTTTGGCCAGAAGAAAGAAAAAAATTGTGGCTCAGAACATCTGGATTGCTGAATACAGTTTATTAGCTTTGTGTTGCTCATTTATGTTGTGTATTATGTAAGCAGTAAGTTTATTACTGACCATTAGAAATGAAAATAAACATAGGCCAGTATGCACATGTGCGTGGGGCATAAAGAGTGCGCTTTCAGGAACTTGGATGAGCAGACGATGAATTCTTTATCAAAGAAAGCTAAACCCTGGTATTAAAGTTAGAACTGCAAATGTGATGGGAAATGGGAATTAATAGTCATGTACAGATGGTCCTCGACTTACAACAGTTCATTTACTGACCATTCAAAGTTACAACGCCACTGAAAAAAGGGAACTTATGAACTTTTTTTACACTTCTGATTGTTGCAGCATTTCCTTGGTCACGTGATCAAAATTCAGATGCGTGGCAACTGACCCATATTATGATGGTTTCAGTGTCCCCAGGTCATGTGAGCCACTGGGTGATCTTCTGACAAGCAATGGGAAAGCCAGATTCACTTAACAGCCATGTTTCTAACTTAACATCTGCAATGATTCACTTAACAACTGTGCCAAGAAAGGTCACAAAACGGGGCAAAACTCATTTGACAAATGTCTCACTTAGCAACATAAATTTGGGGCTCAATTGTGGTTGTAAGTCAAGGACTATCTGCATGTAAACATCAGAGCTCGGTCAGCATAAAATGCAACAACAGATATTTGCAAGCAAAATAAGCTGAGATCTTTTGGAAGACAGCTTTGGGTCTGTATTCATTCCTTCATTTATTATTTATTTGTTAAATTTATTTGCTGCCTATCTCGCTGTGGGGTTACTCTAGGCGTCTTACATTGACAGAGGAGGGCCTGAGCTTCCTTGGTCATTCTTGGGCACGCTGGAGCCTTTCAGAAGTAGATTTCAGGTTAACAGAGTTGGTAGAGACCTTGTAGGTCATCTAGTCCAACCCCATGCCCAAGCAGGAGACCCTACACCGTTTCTGACAGATGGCAGTCCAGTCTCTTCTTGAAAGCCTCCATTGATGAAGCTCCTACAACTTCCGAAGGCAACCTATGTTCCATGGGTTGATTGTTCTCACTGTCAGGAAATTTATTCTTATTTCTAGGTTGAATCTCTCCTTGGTCAGTTTCCATCCATTATTCCTTCTCTGGCCTTTGGGTGCTTTGGAGAATAGCTTGACTCCCCTCCTCTCTGTGACAGCCCCTCAAATATTGGAAGATGCTATCCTGTGTCCCCAGGTCCTTCTCTTCCCTAGACTAGCCATGCCCAGTTCCTGCAACCGTTCATCGGATGTTTTAGCCTCCAGTCCCCAAATCATCCTGGTTACTCTTCTTTGCACTTTTTCTAGAGTCTCCACATCTTTTTTACAGTATGATGACCAACACTGGATGCATTATTCTAGGGTGGGGTCTTACTAAGGCTATATAGAATAGTATTAGTACCTCCCTTGATCTTGATGATATCCCTCTGTTAATGCAATTTAGGATTGCATTGACTTTTTTGGCTGCCGCCACCCATGGCTGGCTCATATTTAAATATTTAAGTAGAGGATGAGATGACATCAGAGGGTGTCTGTATCTTTGAAAAAGCACCAGGGCTCTGGTGTTTTGGATCCCATGCAGACATTTAGATTTTAGCATATGATAGTGTTAAGCTTTTTGTAATCTATCACTATAATTAAAGGGAGCTTATAGTGGCTTTACATGCAATGCCATGCAGTCCAATTCAATACAACACAGTACAACAACACAACACAATACAAGTCTCCAGAAGAATATGCCCTAAATATTACCACTTGGTTAGGTACACTGTTTGTCTTACTTGTTTATGCTGTTGCCAGATTCCTGCACAGGTTTATGCTTTTATCCATTTCTACGTATTGTTCTTTTATTCCTCCCCTATTTTAGGCACACCTTACAGCAGGCCATTCTACAGATTATAAAGACAAAATAGGCTTGCTACTGAGAGTATCATTAAGAGAGAGTTTCAGGCAATCACAGATCCCAGATGAATATTCCAGCACAATTTATGTTTGCGAACAACTGGTTTTCTGATATACAGTCTCCATGTTGTGGAGTTGCGCTGAAAATAGAATTTGTGGCACATTCCAAACTTTTGTCTCCTAATATTTTAAACAAACCCCTTTGAACTGAATGACTGTTGCAAAAAGGGTTTGTAGCTAATGAAACTATTTATCTTGCGGAAAAGAATATGGCACAGAAAAGGTGTTTTGCAAATGAAATCATTTGCTGAAAGAGCCGTTCAAAATACTGATCTTGGTGGGCTGAAATATCAACTTGGGCGGCTTGGTGTGCGTTCTTCATTTTTTTTCTTTTTTTCTTTGGTATTGATTTTTTCCCCCTGACGTGGTAGAATCAAACGGTGCCAGAAGTGTTGAGATGAATCACTGTTATCCAAGGGCTGCAAGCTTCTCTTCCGAGTGACAGAAGGAGAATTCCGCATGGATCAAATAAATACAGATGTGTAGTAATTAGTTTTATTCCCAGCGAGCCCATTTCCGACACACTAAAGATGTGAGTGATTATGGAACCTCACCCCAACAGCTTTTATCAATTTAAACTGCTACGCTACAGGATAGGTCATAACCCAGCCTGCTATTAATAATGTATTTATTGCACTCAACATTATAAATTAGCTCTGTGGAAGAAAAGGAAAGCTCACTTCTTAACGAGACTAATGTCCTCCTCCTCCAGAACCGCCCCATGTCCCTGGCTGCCTTCTTGAAATACAGCCCTAAGACCCTTAAAAGGGTCAGAAACCTGGTCCAAGGCCAGGAGGCCTATATCGTGGGAGGCCTTCTGAACCAAGACGACCTGGAAGTGGCCGATGCGTTAGACTTGCCCATTCTCGGCTCTGATCCAGAAGTGGCTCATCTCTACAGCACCAAGTCTGGAAACAAAAGAGTCTTTGACGCTGCAGGGGTTCCGGTGCCTCCCGGGCAGTTTGACATCTATAGCAGGCAGCAGGTAAGACTGGCCACCGGCTGGGCAGGTGAGGAAATCTGAGACTATTCGGATGTGCCATTTCTTTTCCTTCCATTCTTACTTGGATAGAGCTCAACCTCTGCTGCCAAAGGTCCAGAGGACTCAGCCCCGGAACTCAATTCCTGAATGGTCAGTAAGGGAGCATTATAGTATATATAGGTTCTCCTGCATGAGCAGGAGGCTGGACTAGAAGACCTCCGAGGTCCCTTCCAGCTCTATTCTATTCTATTCCATTCCATTCACTTTTAGAAATAGGGCTTATGACAAATCTATTAGAATTTCACTGAACTTTATGTCACACTGCGGATTCAGTGATGTCAGAAAGAAATATTGTAATACATTGCTTAAATACAAGTGATTGGTTTTTGATTTAGAAACACTGAGCTGAACCAGATCGTGTACTATAATACAGTTCAATGTAGAACTCCAGCATAAGTTTATCCGGCTTTTGCACAAGCAGATATGAAGGCTTTGTAATCGGTCTTCAGTGTTGCTAAGTGCTTAATAACAGATTATTCTGCAAAGATGACAAATGTTACACTTTCCTGGAAAAGTGTGTGATTCTTACACCCTTCCACAAATAATACGACTTGTATTATTTCACTGCTTCTTACACAGCAGTCATTGAAGCCATGCGACTGTCAGCATGGCTGGTGAGAATTAGGACTTCCTAAATGGTTGTTTTAACATTCCCTCTCTGACACCCTTCATGTGTGCTCAATCATTAGTGATGCTTGGACTTGCTAGGGGTTCTGGGAGTTGTAGTCCAGCAGGACACCTGGTCAGGGAAGGCTGCATTATGCAAGCCAAATTGAAACTCCCAGAAATGAGCTCCGACAGCAATAACACCACATATAGCCATGACCTTGGGAGACAGGAGTAGAGACGCTGCTTAGGGGAACAATCGGATGAGAGAAGATGTAGCCCTCATCTGTATAATGATTGGCAGAGAAAGAGGTTCAGAAGGGACCCTCCCTAGTTTTGGGGCTGTAAAGCAGAGGATTTGTACTTTCAGACTTGCACAACTGTGCAAGATCCAAACTGGGTCAGTCACTGGGACCAGAGGTTTAGTCTTCCAAACTTCCAGACTCGTGCTGGAGCCCATCCTCAGAGAATGAAGGTGACCCAGATTGGATCCTGCAACATTATCCAGGGACACCTTCATTTGCCTTCATTCGTTGCACAATTCTGTTAATGTAGCCTTACAATAAAGTAGAATTAGTTTATCTGGTTGTGTTTCCTTTCTAGTCTGCTCGGAAAGGCTGTCTTCAGTCTGGAAAGCCTGAAAATACAAATCTCCCGCTGTCTCTTCTACAGCCAAAGAAGTCGGAGGGTCCCTTCTGACCCTCTTTCCCCACTCATTGCGCAGCTGCAGGCTTATCTGGCCGTTCCCGAGGCAGCATCTCCCACCACCTCAATCTCCCAAGGTCTTCTCACACACCATTACAGGAAGCTATGGGTTCCTTTGCCAGAGGGTTAAAGTGCAAACCTTTGTTCAGCCATTTTTTTTTTAATTCAAGGCATTGGTGTAATGCCCAAGTTACGTGTTTTGGTGCTCTTTCCTTAGCTTCTTTTAAGGGGGAAAAAAACATTTGGGCCACAAGTATTCTTCAGTGCAGGGCACCAACCTCAAACATCTTTCCTCTACTTGGTTCCACACAAAAGTACAGAAATAATCTCTGAAAATAAAAATGCCAAATGACTGTAGCCCTGGATATAGTTTGCCTCCTTTGTTGATTTACTGCACTCACCATTGCCATGGTTTTATGAAAGGGCCAACAAAATCTTCTCCAAGTTCCATCTGAGGGCCCCCTTTTGAGACTTGACAACAGTGTTTTACAACATTGGCGACTTTAAAATGAGTGGACTTCAATTCCCAGAATTTCCCAGGTAGCCATACTAGCTGGCGATTTCTGGGAGTTGAAGTCCGTCCATCTTTAAAGTTCTCATGGTTGAGAAACACTGCATTACACTAATCCTCAGCCTGGCACCAGAAGTGTTTGCTTGGAAGTAAGTTCAGTTGAAGTTAATGATATTTTCTCTCTCCAAGTAACTGTAATAACAATCACTAATTGTCTGAGCTTAATAAGCATCTGAACAATAATCCACAGTACATTTTTTCATAATAAAGTTCCCAAACAGTGGACTTGAATTATCCTGCAAATGCATTTAGGTACAGGAACTCACTTACATAATTATCGAAGCAATGTGCCAATTTTATAGCTACCTAAATTTCATGGAGAATTCCTTGCCTAATTTGCTACTATCTGCAATTTTTTTAGCACTCGGCACCCCCAATCACAATATGCTTTTATGAATTGGACATCCAATGAAAAGATTCCCTTTGTTAAGGTTTTTTGTCCCTCTATATTCTTCCCCAGTTTTATAGCGGGGCATTTGAGGCTGTGAAGATCAGTCTAGAGCCACAGCTCATTCTTCATGGAGAGTATGTGTTTTGAATTAGATTCTGGGGTGGGGAAATGGAAGACATTTCCAGTTCTAATTTGAATTCCAATTTTAGGAATGATATGTACAATCTTATAGATGGAGATGGAATGGAGTGCTGTGGAATATAGGCTTTTGCAATGAAATCAGAACTAAAAATAATTCATGTACCTGTCAATCCTGCCTTAACTTGAACCTTTAAGCAAGAACAATCCTTGACTTCATTTGTTGAGAAAGGTATTGTTTAATAAAGGTTAAGTGGATTACAATAAAGCAAAGCCAGAACTGAGGTTTGCGTGCCAAATCCCAAGGTATAACCTTTCCTCTCCCAGACACTTCCCCTTGCTGGTTCTCTCCCCCCCACCAACACATCACCAATCAGTTTTAAAAGACATGTTTTTGAAAGTCATTCCTGCAGCTGCATTCTTCTCCCAGAGAAAGGACCTTGAGAACTCCCCTGCGAGAGGCATGCTTCTTTCCATCAGTTTCACTTTCCCCCAAGCATTCGCCCTTCCTTCCATCCTCCCTCCAGGGTCCATGGCAGACTGGCATTGAATGATTGCAAAGTGCAGGAATGAGGTAGAAGTTCTGATGGTACCCTATTGACCCTATAGAAATTCTTAAGTCTTCTATAGCATTAGACAGAATTGTTAAAGAATTACAAGGGAGCAAGGTATAAATATGGGGCCATTGGTAGTCTCTGAGCATGATGGTTTTCTTGTAAACATTTCATTACCAAACTAGGTGATATCATCGATGCTGATGATGTTGCCTAGTTTGGGTAATGAAACGTCTTCAAGAAAACTACCAAGCTCAGAGAGCACCAAGGACACACACATACACACAATTCAACCCTGAGCTGTACATGTTCTTTTCTATCGATATATACGTAGGGAGTCATCAAATGACTCATTGCAGTTGAATCATATAGAGCAGAGGTCTTCAAACTTGGCAACTTTAAGACTTATGGGCTTCAACTCCCAGAATTCTCCAGCCAGCATAGCTTGGGAGTTGAAGTCCACAAGTCTTAAAGTTGCCAAGTTTGGGGACCCCTGATATAGAGCCTATATACGAGCTTTCCTTGCCCAGCACTCAGCACATCTGTGTTCCAGGTAAGTTTCCAGCTTCTGCTGATGTCATGCAAAAACATTGGCTCCCAAAGTTACAGCAGTTATACGTGAAAAAGTCGGATGTCTGGAGGACAGAAAATTTGGGGCATGCAGCTCTATGCTTCCATTTGGGCCAGATCCTATCTGTGAGAGCCAATCCCTCCTGCAGAGATTCGGGCTCAAAGTACAGATGCTTGCTGGGGAGTCTGCATCATTAGAACATCATTGGGCACTTCTCCAGGGTGAGCTTTCCAGAACCAAAACACCTGAATAGGTCTCCTTCATGCCTCAAAGCATTGCTTTTTAATGTCCGGTTTTTAGTTTTAGTTTTCAAGAATTGAAGGATTCTGGAGTACCAGTAGCAATTATGAACAATTACATTAATACTTATTTATAACATTCACTATTCCAGTTTTCAATGAATGATGTTTTTAGAAAAAAGTCCTCTTACCTGCTTGTGTTATAGGAAAACCTAGAGATGTTAGAGGTTGAGGCAACTGCCTGGAAAAAGTCTGAAAAAACCAATCCTTGGGTGCATTGGAATGCTCCCTGGGCTGTGTGGCTTCTCACCCAGCCTTCCTTTGTAATGAGTAGGCATCTCCCACAGTTTGGAAGGCTGCTGTTTACTCAGTACCAGAGACAATAGCTGCACTGGCAGCTGATTACTTTATGAGGTCAGATATCCTCAGCTGATCTATGAGTTTCCATCCTATATCCCTATAATCCCTATAATGAACGCAGGCATTTTGGCAGGCTTAAGGACTATAACCTCACCTACCAAGGCCTCCCCAAGAAGAGAACCCTTTGATTTGTAAGGATGTTTGTGTAAGAATGAGGATTTTCAGGAAAGCAGAAAATCTTCCTTCCTTCCTTCCTTCCTTCCTTCCTTCCTTCCTTCCTTCCTTCCTTCCTTCCTTCTTCCCTTCCTCACACTCACTCACCCACTCAAATCAATAAATAAACATTGCCAAAATCCAGCCACTTTGCTAGAAAATCTAGTCTGGGGGTGCTAAGTGAAGCTGGGGTCCACAACTTGTGAGCCTCTCATTTGGATAAAAAGTAGATAATATAGGAAGGTAAACTTATAGCCTGACCTATTAATCATAGTTATATAAAAATAATATACTACAGTGTGATGCGCCCAATATATTGACCACAACGTTATTGTCATTGTTTTGAATTGTACCCTAAAATTCTACTTTCACATCTATTTGTCTCATGTTATTTTTATTTCCTCCTGTAAGCTCCCTATGAAATATTGACGGGAGGTGTTAAATAAAATAATCAAAGGAAGGTGACAATAATTTAAGGCACAGTTCAATTTTCACTTAAAGATAGCTCATAATTCTTTCCATTGGTGCAATCTTTACAATTCTATTGATCCATTTCATTTCTGTAGGGGTCGTCAAGAGAAAACCTATTTATTGGACTTTCAGAAGGAGCAAATAACGAGACACGGAGCAAATAAATAATAATTCTATGTGGATTGTTGAAATAATAAAAGATTCCTTAAATTCCAGTATATGAGCCACTGTAACAAATTCCTCCCAAGTCAGTCTCTTTCAAAAGTTTATACTTTCCATCTCCTTAACAAGGAGTATTTCTTTATCTAGTAAAAAAAATGCATAGCAGTACATTTCAAATACTCAGTATTATTTGACTGTTTGAAATTACTGTTTGAAAAATACTGTTTCAATATTTGAAATCATTAATTTCAAATAGTTTTTTTTATAACATGTCACTGTATTATAAAAAAAGATGTTGAGACTCTGGAAAGAATGCAGAAAAGAGCAACAGAGATGATTAAGGAGCTGGAGGCTAAAACATATGAAAAATGGTTGCAGGAATTGGGTTTGTCTAGTGTAGTGAAAAAAGGACTAGGGTTGACATGATAGCAATCTTCTAATATCTGAGGGGCTTCCACAAAGAAGAGGGAATCAAACTAGTCTCCAAAGCGCTCGAGGGCACAAAAAGAAGCAATTGATGGAAACTAATCAAGGAGAGAACCAACCTAGAACTAAAGAGAAATTTCCTAACAGTGAGAACAGGTGGAATGGCTTGCCTTCAGAAGTTGTGGGCGCTCCATCACTTCAGGCTTTTAAGAAGAGACTAGACAGCCACTTGTCTGGAATGGTATCTCCTGCTTGAGCAGGGGGCTGGACTAGAAGACCTCCAAGGTCCCTTCAAACTCTTTTATTCTGTTCTGTCCTGATCATATACTATCTAGTGCTCTTACGTTCCTTCTCTCTTGGTTTTATCTCTGTGTTGCACAGAACATATGGACAGAGGTTTGGAACATGAGTTACCAAAGGAGAAGGACTAAACCAGAAAATAAAACCTTCACATTTTTCTCCCCCAGATGATTGAGGCCCTCAGTCAGCTGATTATAGACAACATCGAAGTGCAACGTTGGGTGTTCAAGGTGGATAATGAATTTGGGGGAAATGGGACTGCATTTTGTGACATCGCTAAATATCTCCAATGCTATGATTGGATTATGAAGGAGCATCATCGATACGGAGCAGAGATATGGAGTAAGAGATGGGCTCATGTAAGTCACTTTTGATTTCATCCATTTTGAGCAGGTGATCTCAAAAGGTAAACCCTGGAATGGAAAGTCCAGAGGATACTTTTCCTTCCAGGCTGTGGGTTCTGGATCAGTCCCCATTAGAACCTCTTCTAATTATAATAATTTATCAGGAATTCAGTGGTAGCTATTTTCAAACAGTGCTTTGATTAAGGACAAATCAGGTTGACAGGTTGACCTCATGTTCTGTCACCTTAACCAATATTAATAATATTAATCCATAATGACATAATATTTTGTGGAATAAGAATTCAGGCTTGTATACTGAAATTCTTGCAAGCGTCTGCCAAAATAAATTTGTTAGTCTGTACAGACTATGCCGTATTTTTAAATCTTTGAATGGAAAAGAACAAAAACTTTATGGAAGCACAATAGAAGATGCTTTTTCCAAAAGGCAATTGCAGTTTCTTGGGGTTTTTTTCCTTCGAAAATGTTTTGCTTCTCATCCAAGAAATTTGCTCGGTTCCAAATGAAGGCAACTATGACTTGGATGGTTGAGAATCTCCATGGGGACCTCCTGGTGTAGTTCATCCTTCTCTCCCCCTAGAGGTAGTCCTCAGATTATGACCCTCAAATTGGGACCAGAATTTCCATCGCTAAGTGAAACAGTTGCTAAATAAAACATCAAATGACCGCAAAAGGGGTGAAATCCAGCAGGTTCTGACAGGTTCTGGAGGTAGCGGAAATTTTGAGTAGTTCGGAGAACCAGCAAATGCCACCTCGGTCTGTCCCCAGAGTGGGGTGGGAATAGAGATTTTGCAGTATCCTTCCCCTGCCACACCCACCAAGCACACCACGCCCACCAAGCCATGCCCACAGAACCAGCAGTAAAAAAATAATAATCTCACCACTGCCGCCACAGTTCCAGCAGTCCCCGTTGCAGTTGTTAGGCCAGAATCTCCTGCTTCTCTGCCCTGTGTAAACTGCCTCTGCTTTGACTCCCCCCTCCACACCTATTCTCTCCCCCTCCCCTCCTTCCAGTTGCACTGGAAGCTCTTGGCCCTTTGTGATGCCTTGCAGGAGGAAAGCTGGTTAAGCAAGCAGCCCCAGCACCAGGCTCCCCTCCACCCCTCTCTGAGGTCCACAGACTGGTTCTCCAGACAAGCTTCCAACATGAGCTAAAGAGTGCCCGCTGTGCCTGCAGGAAGCCTTCATCCCACTGCACCCTTCGATTGCGCCCCAAACCTTGGTTCTCACACAGCTGCCACCTTCACCCAAGGATCAGCTGCTGCTGATCTCCATCCCACTCCTCCACCATGCTGTCCATGCTGTCCATGCTGTCCATGGTCTGTGGGCTATCTCTCCTCATGCCGGTAATGGAAGATGGGGGGGGGGGGTTTCACCCACACCACCATCCCACCTCCTTCCCTGGCTCCACTCTCCTCTGCCTCTCCCCTGGCTGGGCCTGGCAAACTCCCCGAGGCAGATGAAGCATCCTGAAATGCTCGCCAGACATATCTCGGGTTGCACCCTCAGCCAGCATTTGGAGCAGCAGGACGAAGAAGGCAACAAGGTAGTTGGGGCAATGGGCAGGTGATGAAGTGCAGGCTGGACAAAAAATGGGCAGGTGGCAGGGAGATAGGTAGCCATGGAGGGTTAAAATAGAGGCAGGAGAACATGACTGTGGGAGGCTGTGATCAGTTAATAAATTCTGATTGGTCACCAAATGCCCAAATTTTGATCACGTGACTGCAGGCTACTTCCACAGCCAGAACCTTGAGAGCTGGTTGTAACTCCCATTTATTCAGCACCTTCTTAACTTCAAATAGTCCCTGAACAAATGGTTGTAACCCGAAGACTTTCCCTATTGTTATTGCTCCACTCTGAAGGTCTCAGTAGTGTCATTTGCTTACAGTTTGCCTCTTGTGCAGGCAGTGATTTTGGCCATTCTGAACTTCCAGAAACTATTCAGAGGTTGAGTAAAGCCCACCCTAGACCCTCTTTTATGTCCCAGGTACTAGGCCGAATTGAACCAAAGGAATCTGACAGAAGAACATAATTAAATTGGGGTCATTCAAATGCAGCTTTTAGTGCAGTGCATGAGAGTGCTAAGAACAATTCGTCACAAATTGGAAAAACAAACAAACAAACCAGCCCATTGTTACGGAATAGAAATGAATGGCAGGAAAATAAATGACAGAAAATGAATTACACTGCTTTGATCCATTGGTCTCTAAGTTGTGGTTCTTGGTGGATCTCTGGGAACTGACAATGGAAACAACACATCCAGGTGCAAAATTAAAGTGAGATTTGTGTGTGTGGCAACCTTGTGTGTGTTGGCAACCTGAGCTTCCAAACTCATAAAATTCTGGGTGATGCTGCCCACATTTTCCTAATGTCTTTTTTCCCCAGCTGTTGGGGTGTTGAGGTTGAAAAATTCAAAATATAGAACATATAATAGTCCTGGAAAGTAATGGATTAAAAAAAAATCTGCAAATAAATTTCCAACCAGAGGATTCACAGATTTCAAGAGTTTAAGCCACGGCCAGGGTTTGATGGCAATAATAATTCTGTACTGAAGTTAATAAAACTGGAATTTTATGTATCTATCCTTGCAATAAATACATAGAAAAGAGCAAACCAATCCCAAGGACAACTATAAAATACCTGCATCAACAAAGTTAAGGTACATTCTCTTTTTTTTAAGTACAGATGGCCAAGTTGGAAAATGCTAATAAGATAGTCCTTACTTAATCTCCATAATAATGTGATCATTAAGTGAGACATCGTGTCACTGGGATGAGCTTTCAACCTCACCTCCACTGGGGTTGTTAAGGAAATCACCCACATTTGTTAAACGAGACATCATAAAGTTGCTATGGAATAGTATACAGGTAATCCTCAACTTACGACCACAAACTGAGCCCAAAATTTCTGCTGCTAATTGAGACATTTGCTAAGTGTGTCTTGCCCCATTTTACCACTTTTCTTGCCATAATTATTAAGTGAATTAATAATAATAATATGGCTGTTAACTGAATCTGGCTTCCCCATTGATTTTGCTTGTTGGAAAAAAGGTGGCCACATGATCCCGGGACGTTGCAGCCATCACAAAAATGAGTCAGTTGGCAAGTATCTAAATTTTGATCACATGACCATGGGGATGCTGCAACGATCGTCAAGGATCAAAACTGGTCATAAGCCACTTTCTCAGTGCCATTATAACTTTAAACAATCAGTGAATGAAGTGTTATAAGTCGAGGACTAGCTGTATAAGTCCCAAGTGTTACTGCTAGTGCTATTGCTATATATCACGCAGAAGGAGGTCAATTTAGGATAAATGTCTTGAACAGCACATTTCCCATAACAGTTAAATTGCAGATTGAAAGTTGCTCAGATAGATTTTGGCTGTTGGTTCTAGACTCCACTAAAGAGCTCTAGGCATTCCTAACTCCTGAAACTGTACGGTAAGTCCCTGAGCATTTCATTTGCATTGGAAGAGCCGTTGGGTGATTTGTAGGTGTTAATCAATCAGGTGCCACACCACCATCACCAGGCTACAGAATAGGGCAGGGGTGGGCAACTATGTCAACTTTACAACCTGTGGACTTCAACTCCCAGAATTCCCAAGCTGGCATGGCCGGCTTCAGGAATTCAATAAGAATTCAGGAATTCAGCATGGCTGGGTTGGGAATTTTGGGAGTTGAAGCCCACAGGTCATAAAGTTTCCATAGTTGCTCACCCCTGGAATACAGAAACATCTGCAGTGTATTGCCTCTGAATGCTGAGAATTCAAACCTCCCTTTGTTATGGAATGCTCTTGTAGTACTTCTGCATTTAGATATCAAAGCATTACTTTATGAGCACCGGCATGCTTTAATGTCCTATTACAGTACGGAGACCTGCTTTTGATAATGAAGACATTGTGTCATCGACTTAAGCTGCCAGATACCAAACATATGCTGGCAGGTTATTAAAAAAATTCAGCTTTGTGATAAAAGACTATCCTGCAGGCTAAGAGTACATGGCAAAGGACTCTCCATTCCAGTAGAGTTATTAGAAATGAGAATATGACTCTAAGCACTAAATTATGTTAATACTTACAAATAGCATCATTTGCATAGCGGTTTATGACATGATCCCAAGGTTTTTTTCCTTCATCGGTATGTAGCAGGGCAACGATTAAGCATAAAGCAGTTTATAGGAGTTCCTACTGTGTGTTGCTATTCCATTTTAAAATGTAGGCCAGTTGTTGGATCCTTGAGACACAACGATGGCCATCCCGACCAGGATGCACATCTGGCCATCTTGACTTCAGCATTTGAAAGCACATAGCTTCAAGAGAAGATTGATTGTTGAAGGATTTATAGTAATTTCAATCTCAAGCAAACTCTACTCACTTCTCAGTATTTAGTTCCAGTAGTTAGATCTGTGGCAGCTCTCTTGTAGGCTTACTGGTATAGAATCTGGGAAGAAGTTATTTGATGACCATTGATGAACTAACTTCTAAACAACCTTGGGACAAAATGAAAGTTGGGCTGGAGCAAAACACCTTGGAAAAAGAGAAACAAGGAAGGTCATCCTGTTTAAAACTTCCAACGATGCAATTCAGTGGCAAGAAAAGTAAGACCCAGCACTTAGGCAGGAAAAACCAGGTGTACAGGTACCAGATAGATAGATACCTGGCTCAACAGTAGTGCCTGTGGACAATCACTCAGGGAGGAGCCAGCACTGTGCTGCAGCTGCCAGAAAAGCCAACACAATCCTGAGCTGCATCAACAGAGGGATAGCATAAGATCACAAGAAGTGACAATACTGATTTATACTGCACGCTGAGTCCCTAGAAAACTCAAAGAAGAGCAACAAAGATGATTAAGGACCCGGAAGCTAAATCCTGTGAAGAACAGCTAAATGAATCAGGTAGGTTTAGTTTAATGAAGAGAAGACTATGGGGAAATACAATAGCAGTCTTTAAATGCTTGAAGGGCTGCTACAGGGAAGAAGATGCCCATTTATTTTCCATA